TCAAGAGCCACTACGCTGTAGCAGAATATGATTTGAATTAAAGCATGAGTTCCTGTTGAAAATTTGAGTGGGTATGAGTGAATTGATGCAAGCTAAAATGGACTGTACAGTGGGTAAGAAGGTCCGTTACAAAATACAACCATTTAACTGCAGAGATGTTCACAGACTTGTGCAGCGGTTGTATGAAATATGAAGTGTCATCATCGTCAGTTGGCGTACTGCTCTCTCAGGTCGAGGGAAATTAATCACACACAAACTTAAGTTGTTTAAACGGTTGATTAATGGTGTGAGTCACTGTCAATGGCATGGTCAGTGCTTCATTTCCCACCGGGGTCACTCAGAGTACTCCACAGTGTTTCAAAGACATTTGTCCAACATAGAGATAACAACACAGCGCTGCTGTCGTATCAATACCTCATAATTTCAAATTTGGTGATATTCATGTTTTACCGTAACTCCAGCTTCTGTTAGTTGTGACAAACCATGACTTGTTGATGAAACCGTTTAGTTTATAAAGACCTCGTCATCGGCTCTGTTTTTAATGTTACGTAGCCGGATCTTGTCAAGGTCAAGGAGCTCTGGGGACCAACTCTTCAAGATGAGAGAAGTTACAAAGTCTCTGGAAACTTTGGAAATCCTCATGCAGTCATTTGATTGGTTTTAAGCTTCTTTACACATATCATAAACAGCATCTTAATTTGGTTTTTCGTTGGGTAGAAACAATCAGTCACACCTCGGACCGATGTTTGGCCACGACTAGTTAGGAGTTGGCGGAAGTCAGAATTTTATCAAAGTCTGAATTTTCACCAGTATCCTGACATGTTTCATGATTTACAATAAAGACATGTAATTCTGTTGAAGCAGTCAATGTCACTTGCTGACAACCAAACAGAAAGAGGCAAACATTGCTCATAATTTGTGTTTGGATAACAGTATTATGAGAAAGCAACCAGAATGGACTTGTAAAGACTAAAGGAAGTGCTCTGAGCCATACAGCATGCAGAGATGCTATTGCTCTGTTAGCTATGTCGTTTGGTTACAAGAGTCTTAAATCATCCAGAACACATTGCTAATTAGTGAGATTGTTCTCTTTAGAAAACAATTGAATTTATCTTTCTTCAAATGCTTAAAGCAACCTCTGGTGATTGTACAAACATTGACTCTTTCCTCTGAGAAGCAAAGCAGGAAGTAGCATAATGCAGTTATAACGCCCAACCTTTTAGGGAGTACATTGGGGTGAACGGTTTGCAAAGTGTCCAACCCAGATTATGCCTCTTACTAGGTATCAACATTGGTTTCTTCAAACTGTGGCTATGATCTTTCTCTAGCCTTGACCCAGTAGTTTTAGTTGCCTAAACTTAACCAAACCTTAACCATAGATGTAGCAGACTGTATGAATGAATGTTTTGTGCAGCAGTTAAATTTGTTACAGTTTTTAAAAGAATTGACCAACAATGTCATCCAACCAATCAGGGAGCAGAATCAGAAAATGCTCATAAGGATTCTTAAAGACTAATTCGCTCTTAAGGTTGAAGGACTTTCAGTGTCATGAACTAGTTCATGTCATCCAATCACATCTAAAAACAAAAAGTGTTTTTTTGCTCTGAGAAGCCACACTTGAAGGCTGGGCAAAAAGCCTGCTATCATAGCCTCCTTTTGCCTGCACCACACTGCCTTTCCAATCTCTCTCCAAGCGCTGTGTCTTTTGCGTCTTTGTTGTCTCTACACAATTAATCCAACAAATGGGGATAAGGGAAGATGCTTTCATACAGTCTGTCCTCCATGGGATTCATGGTGGTACAAGAACTGATGAAAGTAGCTGTGTAAGCAGAGACAACAACAGAAGTAAGGACAAAAAGAAAAGAGCTTGAGAGAAAAGATTAAATCTGGCAGATTTTCTCTCCTTTGCACACCTGGTCAGACACCGCATGAGGTGGGTTTGTTTATGGGATTGACCCACCCACCCCCCGTCTTTATGCAACCTGGCCCAGATTCAGCCACTGGGTCAGGTCCTTTCATGTTCAAGCTGCGAATCAAAACCCAAACACACACACACACACTCTCACACACTCTCACACACACACACACACACACACACACACACACACACACACACACACACACACACACACACACACAAATCACAGCAGTCAAGAGGAAAACAAAGCTGTTTTTTTATTTTTCTGAGATGTGGCTTTCCACCCATCAGATCTTCTTTTAGTGTTTGTATCATGCACAGTTAAGGTCAGTTCCCCTTCAGGTCAGTCAAAGCTGAATGTGACCTCATATTCAAATTATACAACATTCAAACTGAGTGAAGGTGAACTGAGATGTGTGTGTGTGTGTGTGTGTGTGTGTGTGTGTGTGTGTGTGTGTGTGTGTGTGTGTGTGTGTGTGACTAAGTGGTAGAGGGTTTTTTTTTGTGAATGCCGCTCTGCACAGGCACCGGCATGTAGGATGTGTCACACTTAACACTGCCTGCCTGCCAGCCCTGGTGCAT